TCCTCTCTCCTTCTCTTCTTCTTCTTCTTAAAACTCATCTCTCCATCAGCAGGAGGAGCAAGGCACTTCACCTCCTCTTCCTCCTCTCTCCTTCTGTCCTTGTCCTTCTTCTTCTTCTTCTTCTTCTTCTTCTTCTTCTTCTCCTCCTCCTCCTCCTCCTCCACTCTCTCAGGAGTGCTGATGTTGACTGGAGAAGGAGGTTCATCCAGACTCTCTGACCTCTTCTTCTGAGGGGAGGGAGAACTTGCAGAATTCATGACAGAGGAGGTGATGGAGGTGATGGAGGTGATGGAGGTGATGTTGTTAAAGCTGCAACAGACGAAACAAACAACTCAGATTATCAGATCACATGACTCAGGACTCCAACAGCTGATTGGTCTACAGACGAGCAGAGCTGCTGCCATTGGTCGGCCCGATCGATGACGTCACTACTATGAACAGTATTGTTAACTGTTTTTTTCTACCTCTCTGTCTCTTCTACGTCACATGACGTCATCAGTTTGGCTCCAGAGGGTCGACTGGACGGCGGCGTTCTGAACCCGGTGGATGCCAACGCGGTTCTACGGCGTTCTGCTCGGCTGGTTTTCAGAGAACGTTTTGTCTAGTGTGAGGCAGTGGTGAGGAGGTCGGGGTGGAAGGATGGTGAACAGGGCTCAGAATGACGATGACGGGTCCAAACACCGGGACACATTGTAGGTTCTGTGTCTGCAGCAAATGAACGAGGATGAAATCAGGGCTTTGATTGGTGGACGGGTGTAAACACAAACCTCACTGACGAGGTCATACCTGCAGGTCACGTGACCCAGGTGTTCTGATCTCTCGCTGTTCCACTCGCTGAGCTTTCATTTCTAATGTTTATTCTTATTCCTCTACACATTCACCTGTTGAGCTGTAATCTGTTCCAACAACCAGGTGTGCCTCTGATCAATCAAACAGCTGATTGGTTTCTTCAGAGGATGATCCACCGTGAAGCCGTTTGAACCAGAACACTGTAAATGGACCTTCCACCACAGATGGAACCTGTTTGACTTGTTGAGAGGATCTGATTTAAACTTTGGTTGGTTACCTGCTCAGGTGAGCCCGTTTAAGAGGATCAGGTCAGCTGACCCGGAACATCACGTGTAGAAAACAACATGCTAACGGAACCGGCTACAGCTCACAGTATAGAAACACGGATCACTGATCAATACTCACTGATCAGCTGCACTTTGTTCTTCACAGTGGCTTCAAACTGGACCAGTCTAGAACCAGTTCAGAACCGGCTCCGAAACTTTCTCCTCAGATTTCCCTCCAACCAGAAGCGTCGCAGTATCCAATCAGCTGTATTGATCCGCTATTCATTTCGGGCGTTTCAGACTCTGGAGCAGCAGGTTCTGGTTCCGGTTCCGAACTGCTCCACTGGTCTGACAGTAATCGATCAGTGCAGCTCATTCAGAACTGATCAAATCGATGAATACCGACTCACTTATGAAGGTTCGCTGCACGCGGGCTGCGGGAGGCACGCTGCTTGTTTACTTCCGGTGTGGCTGCGGCGCATGCGCAATACCTCAAAGAGCAGGAACGTCATCAGTTGGAGCCCGAGAGCTGTTCCACACACACACACACACACACACATACGATATATATGTTATATCTACAGTGTGTGGTTCCGGTTCGCAGGACGGATGGAGCTCCGGGAGCCTCCGACACATTCCGCATCTGAAAGGTTCCGCTGGAATCACGGCTGTCTTTACAGCTGTTGTTCAGTCTTTTACTGATTCACTGGCTGCTAATGTTCCACCTCTATGGATCGATGTGGTTCTTTGTAAACGGCTCGGTTCGTATTCTTTTATCATGGGACCTGCGAGCTGGATTATTGTCAATAAAGTCATATAAATTTTATTATTTTTTTAAAGTACGGGAGCCCGGATGTGTTGTCGCTCCGCCCACATTGTGGAGGACCGGTATCCCGGTGGAGCGGCCTCTGTGTGGGTGCTGCTGCTGTCCCTCAGGACGGGTTTCAGCTTTAACCTTAAAGCAGAGAGGGTGTCTGCCTCCAGAACCCAGACTGGGAGCTGATAGCTGAAGGCTCTGCCTCCCATTCTGGTTCTGGAGACTCTGGACCCACCAGTAGACCTGCAGTCTGAGAGTGAAGGGTTCTGGTAGGATGATACGGTACCATGAGGTCTGTAAGGTCACATGGAGCTGCTCATGGAGAGTTTATATGTTAGAAGCAGGATTTAGATTCTATCCTGGATTTTACAGGAAGCCACTGAAGAGAAGCTGATACAGGAGACATCTGATCTGGTTCTGGTTCTGTCAGAGCCCTGCTGCAGCATGTTGGATCAGATGGAGGGTTCTGAGAGAGTTACTGGGACATCCTGATAATAAGGAACTACAACAGTCCAGTCTAGAAGTTCTGAATGATGGACTGGTTTCTCAGCATCACTCTGAGACAGGATGTCCTGATGTTTACAGTATTATGGAGATGACAGAAGATCGTCCTACAGACTGGTTCTGTATGTCTACTGAAGGACATGTCCTGGTCAGAGATACCTCCAAGGTTCTGTACAGTAGAACTGGAGGCCAAGGCGATGCCCTCTAGAGCAGCTTTCTGGTTCCAGAGTGTTTCTGAGGTGTTTAGGGCCAAATACAAGAACCTCAGTTTGTCTGGATTTAAATGAAAAGGTTCCAGGTGATCCAGACCTTTCTGTTCTTCAGACATGTTGGAGTTGGTTTCATTGGGCTTCGTAGATGAAAACAACTGATTGTGCAGCATTCTCATCGTCAGCATCTGTGTTGAGTTCTAGTGACACAGCTGACGGGCCTGTTCTGTGTTCACCTGCTCACAGTGTGTGTCTGAACAGAACACCTTCAAACCAACTGACACCAGACACTAGACACAATCCACAACACCATGTCAGAGCTTCTGGTCCAGAACCAGAACCAGGTCAAGGTCAGGTTTTGGCTGGTTTTACACGGTCCATATTTGAGGGTTGCAGAGCTGCAGGAGTGAGTCTGTCCAGAGTGTCTCAACATGAGGTTCCAGCCCCTGAGATGATCATAGATCTGCTTTCATTTCACTGTTTGACATGTTTAATCACCAGAACCAGACCAGAACTAGAACCAAAGCCTAAAACATGTTAAACACATGATGTTTACAAGGTGTCCATACTACATAGGGAACAGAACAGAACCACTGTGGCTTCCATCCAAATCACAGACTTTAGTTTTGGAGTCAGAACCATCTGGAACAGTGACCTGTCAGACCGAGGTGGACCTTCTGCCGGCTCTCTCAGACTACATGCACTGTGGCTGTGGTTTCAGAGGGACTCGTGTGCTGCCTGATCCTGGCTCTGCTGCAGGCTTCTTTCTGTTTCTGGTCTCTGAAATGTGCAGCTGATGGCAGCATGAAACCTGCAGTCAGCACCTGCTGAGTCAGACGTTCTGTTTCTCTCTGAACTCTGGAGACTCACAAAAAGGACAAAGAATCACTGAAAAGAACATTCCTCAGCATCCGGCCTACAGGAGCAGGACGAGCCATCTTTAGGTTCTTGAACACGTTCCACCTTCATCCAAGCAGTTTAAATCAGTCCTGAACTTGGAAGTCTCTTGGATGAAGCTGGAATATTTTCAAGAACCAAAAATAGAAGTTTGCTGGTTTTTGAGGATCACACGACCCAGTGACTGAACAGCTACACAGTCATGTGACCAGCGACGACCAATCCTGAGCCAGGTTACGGCTACGTGACGAGGAGCTGCGGCGACATGGAATATAAACATGGTAATAATAAGATCCAATAGAGCTTTATTAATCGTGAACGGGGTTCTGGTACCAGAAACATGACAGTAGCATGTGAATAAATGCAGTAAATGGCAGGAGAGCCACAAAATATAAGTACGACACGTTAGTAACCATAAAAATAAGAAAACTAGAAAATTAAGGATTGACAACATCCACATCTTTCTATACAAACATTGTTCTTCTGCAGAACCCCAGGGCTGGACTCGGTCCACTCTGAGCTTCTGTCAGGGACAGCTGAGGATCAGTTCACACAGAACCTGAACCAAGTCTAGAACCTCATCATGTCCCCATATATGAAGCAGGACCTGGTTCTGGGATCAGGAGGATTCTGGAAACTGGGAACAGGATCCAAACAGAAAAAGTCTGTATGAGCAGCGTCTGATTCTGGTTTCAGTCCCACAGTCCAGAGGTCCAGGTCCAGACACACTAGAATCAGTCAGTACACCTGGTTCCTGTGGGGACATCAGTGATGCTGTCGGGGGGCGGAGCCTGTCAGAGCAGCGTCCTCGTCCTCCGAGTGTCTCAACAGCATCGAGGCTCTCTGCTCGTCCATCCGCCGGGACTGGACCCTCTGGACCAGGCTGAAGAAATCCTCCTGACCTTCCGGAACCGGACCGAGAACGTCCTCAAGATCTGGAAGGGAGCAGCGCTGGTCCTCCATCCTGTCCGACTGAAGACAGACAGACAGGTTAGAACATGTTCTCAGAGGAGCTCCCCCCAGCAGTCCTGAGCTTACATGATATCAGAAGCTTGAGAAAAGAAGTGAAAGATTGTTTTCTGGCAGACCAGAGATGTGCACATTCGTCAACGCTTTTAGTGTCACTTTAGGGCCCCGAGACGTGTCTGTGACTCCAGCCTGGTGGTATGAACCCAGTATGTGGTCACAGGTGCCTGTTTGATGACTTGTTGTGATGATGCACTTTGTCTGTTGAGTCATGTTCCTTCCACAGGAGATGAGCTTCACAGCTATCGTCTGGTACAAGCATCTTTGCTCTTGAGCATCATGTAATTGTACATTGTCCTGTCAATAAACAATCAAATCAATAAATAAGATCCAGATGTCTTTATTCTCTCGCTGCTGCTCTCAGTTATTGTGTCCACAGCAGCATCAGGCTGAATCAAGCCAACCAGAACCTCCTCAGAACATCTGGTTCTGTACCTCCAGAACCTTCATCTACTGACCAGAGTTCTACCTTCAGACTGTGAATGTTCCCGAGGTCCAGGTCCTTGAAGTCCACAGAGGAGGGTCCAGATTGATCACTTTAATGGACTTTTTCCATCATTTCTGAGCCTCAGAACTTCATCAGTACAGCAGATAGACACATGACATTTAGGAGGAAGAACACATCTGGGTTCTGCTAGAACTTGACACCAGATCAGTTCTACATCCATCCAGGTGTCTCAGTCTGAACACTGGACCTGGTTCTGTTCATGTCCTCTGTCAGCAGCTGGTAGCATCAGTATTATGGGATGGATCATAGTGGTACCAGTTTAATGTCTATGACATAGAGTCATAGGAACAATGGATGTGGTTCTGGTTCTGATCATTCACCAGAGGAAACTTTACAAAGTGCATTCTGGGTAAACTCTAAGGCTCATATCAGCGTGTGTGGTGGTGGTTGGTCAGACCCAGTTCTAGACAATGGAAGGACTATTTAACCTCCAGAACCTACCAGAACCACCTGTAGACAGGATCCACTCTGAGGGAAGATAATTCTCTAATATAGTCAAATTTTAACATTTGTAAAATGTTAAACTTCTACAACTCTACAGTTTCATCCAGCAGACGTCCATCTGTGAGTAGATCAGCACCAGCAGGATCCAGTCAAGAGAGAACCACCTGGATAAGTTTCATAGAACCAGTCCGGGGGGATCGGACCTTGGTGTCTGCAGGTAGAGCAGGAGGTA